TCGGGGATCCGCTGACAAGTACAGTACTGCAAGTGTCAGTCACAGTGGGGAGCTGAGGTGGCATCACTGAATCCAAAACCCCCAGTGCTGGCCTGCAGCCCTGACCAACCCAACCCCCCACCAAGCGGAGACACCAGAACCTGCTGAGATGATGTGATATGCTAAAGGCAGATGCTCACTTCAATCTCCCTGTTCTTCTTGGTTTTTAATGTCTTGCTTTTAATAATTTACCTTCAACTTTATTTTTTCCTCCATAGTTTATATTTCCTCCATAAATTTCACTGTCAGTTCATGTTTCGGGTGGGTTTAATGCAGACATTCCAGTCATATTTGCATACTTGGAGTGTCTAGAGGCTCATTCGTCACTGTTGACAAATACCTCACCATAATAAAAGAATTATGCCCTTATATTTCCCATTTGGAATTTGAGAGCCATCGAATTTTTTTAAATTACATGTAGGTTGTGAAACGTCCATAAAAGCAGATTTATCTATTTGCCTTTAGCAGTTCTTTAACACGTCTAAGCATCTTCCTAAAATAATGGCCTAAGTAATTTTTTTCCAAAAGTAATCTTTTTTTTTTTTTTTGCCAAAATCACTTTGGGCAAAAAAAAAAAAAAAATCACGTAGGCCATTATTTTAGGAAGGTGATGTCATTAAGCATGCACTATGTGATAAAATGTCATAATATCGGCCAGATTCCTTTTTTCTTTTTTTTTGTTATGAATCATAGAAAATATATTTTTTAAAAGAGCGCCAACTCCATCGTAAATCTTGTAAAAGGAAAAACAAGGAAATGTTTTAATGAAATGTCAAATCTGAAAGCTTTGTTAATACTAAATGCCAGCAATGGTATTTTGGGAGTATTTGATGATTGCTGCCTTATAGATCATGTGCAAACTGACTCTATGACCCTTGATAAGCCGTTCTTCAACACCTTGAGAGCTGATGCAGAAGCTTTATGCTGGATGGTGACGTAATGTGGGGAAAACTGCTGAGTCTCCACTTCTGACAGGGGTCCTAATGTTTGACTGGCATGCACAAGCACTCAACGTCATGCACAGTCTTTGGGGAATAAGAAAGAAAGAAACAAAACAAAACAAACAAAACAAGGCAATGTGTAGACTTGTTTTTGTCCCCCACTGCATTTCAATTTTTGCAAATTATGCATACATTCACACCTTTCTTAACTAGAAACGTTGCTTGATTTTGAGCCTTTAAACCCAAAATGAGTTGCAAAGTTAAAAACTCAACCTTTTTAATAGTACTTATTATTTTTTCTGAGTTATGTTAATTCTGGGTCTATTTCCAATTACTCCTCCATATCCATCTCAACCCACCTCGAGGGCCAACTCCTCAGCCTCAAACTGTTTCTGGGCAACGCGGCTGGATCCGGGGTGGTCATGGTAGTACACCACCATAACGTCGTACTTCCTCATCACGGACTTATAGTTCTTGGCGTTCAGGTTGTGTACTCGGTCCTTGCCGTCATATTCGGGGTAGTCCAAGCTCTCCTTGGCCAGTGATTGCCCGCCAAATGACAGCAAGACTGCCACAAGCACCCATGTCCACTTCATGGCTTCTCTCTGAGACGATTTAGATTTCTTTTAATTATCGTACAATTAACTGAGTGGGGTTAAAAAATCTTTTTTCTTTGCTTGCAGAACCCTTTCCAATCCGCGTCACCCAGAAGAGAGCAGGACTAAACTCCTGGATCCACCTTATGACAGACCCCACATGGGAAACTGGCAGTGGGGCACAGGGTACAAGAGGGGCTGGGCTAAGTTTGACATAGGTGTGACGGCGTCCGCCTATGGTGGGGTGTAACTGAGCAGGGGTGAGGTGGTTGGTGGGGTGACAACTTTGTGTGTAGGTGTGTTTAAATGTTAGCTGCATACCTATAAAACTGGGCCAGAGTGACGCGATGAGGGCCCAACTTGTCAAGCGCAGAAAATTTGGAAGACAAAGCTGAAGCTGCTGGGACGAAGTGCAGGCGCTGTGTTTGGACGCTTCTTCTTTTCTTGCCAAAAAAAAAAAAAAAAAAAAGGTGCGATAGATTTAGAGCTGGCCGCAAATGTAAGGCACTCTTCTCCCATATTAAGTGAAGGATGAAGTCTTGGATCCCAGCTAAAAATAATGGAAGTAGGACAGAGAGGTCCATATCAGGAGGGGCTACAGTCGGTGTCTAATTTGCTGCTGCTGGCATTGGTGCAGTGCTAAAATGTGGAGCTGGGTCACTCAGGGACAAGAAGAGAAGGGGGGTGGGGGGACAGGGGTCTAGTGAGGCTTCAATGTAAAGATGTCACAAAAATAGATTTTTGCAAGATTCTGACTTTCCCTCCCCAGGTTTTTGTTACCCAAAACAAGCATCCTGTTCATTCTGCCAACTGACCACTTGCTTTACAATCTAATGATGTAGAGGCCACTGGAGATGGCACTGCCTTGCAAAGAAACACAATGAGAAGCATAACGTCAAGAGGAAGGACGAGGGGATTTTTATTTATTTTTTTTGCCAAAAGTGGTTTGTGAAGATGCTCTAATTAGATGAGACCAACATTTAATGTTTTAACCTATATAGTGTAGCATGTGGAATGCTACAAGCGAAGCTCTTCCTGTAGAGGAAGACTAACCATCAGCCACGTGAGAACGTGTTAACAGTGCATAAGTGTCTGGTGGATACATAACGATAAAAGATTTTCACCTTTTGGATGTATTCTGTCTGCAGTATTAAAAACAGTTAGCTGCTAATGTTTGAGGCGACTCGTGGCGCACAAGGAGAACCGTAGGACATAGACCTCGATGATGCCGTCATGATTTCGACTCCCACCCTCGTTTCCCTTGCCAAAGGTCGTCCTCCTTCTCTCCAACTCCTTCCTGTCGGATTGCTCTCAAACTAGTGCCGATAAAAACAACAATACAAAACAAAAAGAACAGTTAATCCCTGATAATATAGTTCAGCCGAGTTAACTATCATTGTCCTAGAATATACTTTGACGGCCTTCCAAATATTCCTGAATTTGTTATTTCTTTTTTATATGTTGAATGTAAAACACAATCTCTGTTCAAGTGTTGAATAAAAGACAGCTGAGTGGAAGGACAGAAACCGTTTGGAGAGACAGGTTAAAAGTTGGAGAAAATTAGAAAGAGTGTGAAATAAGATAAACAATGTTGCAGCGGAAAAAGTTGACACAATGTTCAATTTGATGATTAAATATGGAGTAAAAGTTGAGTTTCTGCTTCTTTTCTCTCAGTGGTGTTTTAACAAAGTTGTGTTCTGCGGTTGATGGTCAGTTAGCTTTTACCTGAATGTTTCTTAGGGCATAAAACTGTCATATTAATGGAAAAACAAATGCCTTGTTAGAATAATAATAATAAAAATCTTGCTTCCCTTTTATTCTGTATTGAAACCCATGCTTGATGTACAAAGCAAGATGGATGGATCTGTGTGTGTGTGATGATGTTTGGCCTGCAGCTGAAACAGCAGCGACTTGAATGGTCTCAGCACCTGTAGAAATTCAAGCTGAAATGTGGTTCTTCGTGTTACTGTAAACATCTAGGGTAGCATGAGTCAGAGGCTAAATGAGAAGAGAGAGGGATTTATGTGTGTGTGTGCGTGTGTGTGTCATTTACACCTCAGGTGGTGACAGATTTCATTACGAGTTTTCTATTCTAATTTCATTAATTGGGCAAAAATCAAATAACATTACAGCTAATTGGTGGGTTAGTATGCTGTGCTGGAATTCACTTATGATCACCATTCTGTACATATATTTTTAAACGTACTTCTAATTTACACTAGAGTTTTACTTACTTAATGTTTTCCTGGTTATATAGTGGTTATGTCTGGAACTGTAGTTCCCTCAGCTGTCCAGTAGAGGGTGTTCTCCAACGTTAAAACACCTGTTGTTTTGACTCAGTTGCTACGAATGACTTCTTAAAACTTGAGGAACATTCCGAAGATGCAAAAGACGATACTTTAAACACGTCCACCTCAAAGGTCAGCATGTTTTCAGCTTTTACTGCTTATCCTGAAATACAGACATATACAATGTGCATAAATCATGGACATGTTATTGAAATGCAAAAACACCTTCGACATTTTTATTTTGCCTTCACTACAAAATTAAGCTACCATAGCCGACAAATGTCTCTGGCTCTCTCAATTTATGACCTAATCAGAGTTAGAGTGACTTTTACCGTAACGTGCTTTTATGACTACTACACCAGACTTTTTATTGAGTAATATTATTATGAAGTGTTTCTGCATACTCTACTCCGCACTGTGAATAATTTCACTCAATAAAGGAAAAATATGCTTTAACCAAAAATGCACCAGACACAAACCTACAGTTTATGTTAAAGTTAAATTTCTTCTTTGACAATGAGCTTCGATGTTCTATGTTATTTTCTATCTGCTGAGCCTGCGATTTGCAGATCAAACAAAGACACTCTTAACTCTCTATATAGTCACTTAAAGTACCTATTCTAACACATATATAGCTAGTATATTAGTTATAAGTTGCATATTTAAACAAAATTTAGGAAAGTGTATTTTTGTTGCTTTTTGTTTTGCTTAAAATGAATCATTTTATAATGCTCCAGATGTTTTATTTTAGTCTTAAAATATCAGAATTTGCAGGTACCTTCGTATTTTTGTCTGTCTCAGTTATTCAGAACTTGATTAGTATTTTTACGAAGTACTTTTTTATTCTTCTTTGATTCTTGGAGGATTACTTTTTACTTTTACTCGACCAAAAATATGTTGAAGTAGACCTACTCTCTTGCTGGCTGCTCTGCCCGTCTCTGGATATAATATATTTATAGTATATATAATTAATGGGAGTTCTAGCCTTTAAAAATTATAGGTTTAATGAATTTCTTGTTCCTAAGTGTTCAAACGTATTAATCACGTGATCAGGAATCGGCGCAGGACAAAGCGCTACGTGGGGGGCGGGGTTATCTTAACTGCTTCCGGTGTGGGCGGGAACCAGCACGGTAAGTTTGATAACACTGCAGGAACATTACGTATCAATAAAACAGTAATTATTTACACTGGAGAGCTGAAACAACCCGCGGAAGGTTTTCCACCCACTGACAAGGGGGCTAAGGTCAGACTTTTGATCTTCAGTCTATGTTAATGCAAATAATAGCTTAAATAGCTTTTTTAACGTCGCTGTCACAGTTACGGAATAGTTGTAGATTGAGCCACCTCGCAATGAGGTTTGACCTGCCAATCCTACCACAAGCAGCGTACTGGAAAGAACCTCACCACGTTAAACCTGCGTTCAAATAAATGAACGAGTGAATGTCAGTGACCTCTAATCACTGCTACTATTACTGCGTTGGTGCCCAGCTCCAGTCCAGGACGGCCAGAGTCAAGGAAAAACAAACAAAAAAGAGTACATTTCAGCTTTTATTTTTAATTATTTCAGTTTTGGTCCTCCATAACTGACTGAGACCTTTTGAGTTAATGTCGAGAAGGTCATTCAGGTGTATCGTCAGCATAGTTTTCTTAAGATGATCTTAAGCGGTGTGATAAGGAGATACAAATGTTTTGAGTTCTTTTTTCTCTTAGTTGGCAATGATATGGCAAGAATGAATCGTATGCATTCATTGTCTTGACAGATGACTTCAGCTGTGGCCAACAGAGCAGTAGGAGCCATTGTTGGATCAGCTGTTGCAGATGCTGCAGGCATAAGTTTTTCCCCTGCTCCAATCCTTAAGAAATAATCAAATACAATTATTGTGGAGGTTCATTTTTTGATATGATTATATGAAAATTGTACGTGTGATTCATCCGCTGCAGCTCAGCCCCTCCACTGGGTGTATGATCTCCAGAAACTGAAGGGGATCTTGGCTCAGGATCCAAACCCGGAGTTCCGTTCCGAGTCGGCCAATCCCTTCTACCGGAGGCAGACGGGCCAGCAGAGCTGCTACGGAGACCAGGCGTATGTGCTGCTGGAGTCCCTTTCAGAGTGTGGAGGTGGGGCTCGCCTATTTTTTATGTCATAATTCGATGTTCTACTTTTAACACTCATGGACTTAAAATGAGAGTAAATACTTTGTATACAGAAGATGGTGATTATTACTAAAAGTTCATTAAGTATTTGAGACAAACTCCTTTTTTGTCACCAGCGTGTGACTTTATAGACGTTTCTTACCAGGTCTGAATGTTGATGATCTGAAGCAGCTGACACTGAAATTCTTTGGACCAGGGTCAGAGTATGACACGCCGGTCAATGATCCGTACCGAGACCGGAATGGTGAGAAATCTGTACACTTAATATGATTATGGGTAACATTTTTAATAAAGTTGCTTTATCAATGTGATACTAATGGACGTTATTTTATTTCCAGGCCCAAGACCTCAGCTGCCGATTGAAGGACCATGGAGACAAGCAAGCTTGAAGAGTTTCTTAAAGAATGTCGATGCGGGCAAAGAGGAGACAGGTAAAGGACATTCACTGGTTGAAGTCTTGATCTTAAGAGGCACGTTGGGTTCAAGCATTTGGTTGTTTTCTTTGCAGGCTGTGAGACGGACTGTCAGATTGACGGCATAGCCAAGCTGGCTCCTATAGTGGCTTTTTACGCCGGACAACCGGACATGCTGGAAAAAGTTGAACAGGCCATCCGAGTCACCCAGAACAACGACGAATGTGTCGCTGAAACTCTGGCGGCCGCAAGGTCTGTACGCCCCCGAGCACCGTTTGATTACTTGAGCTTACTGTCGCGTGTTGAGGGTAGCGTTTCCACCAGACTGTGGGGATTGGTGTGTGTTCAAGTAGCGTGAAAGCTTTCGCGAAGCACCACATCTTAGACGACAAACTGGATTCTTGCCTCAGGTTTCTGGAGCATTTTATCCTGACTGGTCCAGACCCAAATGTGCTGGATGTAGTGCTAAATCAGCTCAGTGACCCCAGCAGAAAGCAGCCACAGGACTTGGACAAAGCAGTGATCGGTGAGTGAACTCTGCAGGCATTGCTGCTTTCTCTCTTGAAGTCACGAGACCGAATCATGGGATTTAAGGCACCATGCTTCCTCATTCTGTGAAAGGTTTGTGCAACAATTTGCCTCAACAAAACCTGTCTGGACGTGAAGATAAAGAGCTGTTTAACATTTGTATTGATTGGTAGTATTCCCTCATTTGGTATCTTATATTTAGGGCTGCGAGTAATGATGATCCCAGTAACTGATTAATCTAACGATTATTTTGACAATCAATGAACTGCATAAACAAATGTGCACATTCTGCAAATTTTTATTTAACCACTTAATCCTTTTTATTCAGTATTAAAACACATTAATATGCAAACTAACAGTTAATACAAATAATTTCTTGAATAAGAAAATAAACATTTTATTGTATAAAATGCAATAACCACATTTCTTTAGTGAATGCTTCGTCATTTGTAGCAAAGGATGCATCTGCAGATAAAAAAACTATCAACAGGGAAAAAGCTCAGATCTTTCTGCTTGACTTATCAATACTTAAATATAATAAATAGGGCTGATCTATTGAGTATCTTTTGGATTAACCGATTAATAACTGAATAGCAAAAGATGTCTGGTAGTAGATTGTTCAGATTTTTACAGAATTTGAACCAAGTAAAAATATGCCACACATCAATACAGTGTAGGGCTAATAAATGTTAGCTAGGTTTTGGATTAACCAGTTAATAATTGGATAGCAAAATGTGTTTAGTAGGCGTTTTTCTTCTTTTTTTCTTTACAGAATTTGAACCAGGTGTAGCTGAAACTACTTGAGTTTTGGTTAGAACTTAATCACAGATAAATATTTTATCTTAAATGCAAACTCCATATTTTTTGTAAAGTTTTGGCTTAATTAGTGCGCTCCAATTAACAATTAATCAGTACCTAAATTTGTTGAGAATTACTTCAATTGCCGATTAATCCGTTTAATCGTTTCAGCCCTATTCATATTCCTCCCATTCTGCGGCTTTCAGGGCACATTCATCAAGTGAAGGAGAATTTGTCGAAGCGTCCACAGGAACTGATCCCCGCTGTGTTTCCCAACACATGAGGTATGTTTAACCAGCTTCCACCAACTTCACTAAACTCCAGCCTGACTCGGATCAGACAAGTAACGGGTGCAATACTCACTGCAGGTTTGCCAGGTGCATTCCAGGCAGCGCTGCATGGAGTCCTGACAGCCGAGCACTTTGAGGCGGCCATCAGAGACACCATGAGCTGTGGAGGGTGCACCTGCAGCAGAGCCTCCTTCATCGGAGCATGCGTTGGAGCCCAGGTGTGACCGTCTCTTAATTCTTCGTTCTAGTCTCTCGTTCTCCCCTGGCTTTTGTCTGATGATTTTTTTTTTCTTTTTTAATGTTTTTGGTTTGGATTTTTCAGATTGGGCTTGAAGGAATCCCAGCTTCGTGGCTTAGCAAAACCTCACGATCCAACTCCGTGCTGGCGCACGCCAAGAAGATCGCCAGCCACCACCTGTAAGATTGCAGTTCGCAGCATGAGGCGGACGAGAGCGTTGTGAAAAACTGTTGGACTTTTGCAGAGCTGCTAATGAAGGCTTTTGTCTAAACTTAGGTGTGACATGAGCCAGATGTTTTTGTCTCTGTAAAAGTTGAACATGTTGAGTTCAGATGTTCCGGAAAAGAGTTTTATTTTTCTTCACCAAAGTCTTTTCTAAGTATTGATTTAAAGCTTGATCAGGAACTGTCTACTATTGTTGAAAATAACTCTTGTGTAGGCCACCATTCAGTTTTTTTTTTTATTTTTTTTTTTATCTTTGATTTAAGGACATGTAACCAGATTGATTAAATACAACTGTCATTAATTAAAGCTTATTAATGACAATTAATTATTTCTTCAGGTTATTATGTGTAGCCTAACTAAATTAAACTGTGACTACTTAAATCATCAATGTAAACAGAAGAAACCACTGCAGATCTAACTGCAGCTAACTGAGGCTTGAATGAACGACCTTTGATGATGTTAGCTGTACATATTTTTGTCTGTTAGATTTTGCCGTATTTTGTGTGAATTTTCAAATGCCTTATAATAGAGACATGGAAGAAATGTCTGCAAACAGACTTTCTGCTGCAAATCTGTTAACAGTCTTTGTCATTACTGGACATAACATTTCACATAATCAAAAAATCATAGAAATAAACAATATAAATTGATTGATGTCCTACTTGGCCTCACTAAAAGCATGCTTATTAACAATTCTGAGTTTCTCATAAATCCTTTATTGTTACTAGCTAAATATCATATTCATTGTTCCAGGTAGGGAAAGCCATGCTTTGCTGCATTTTACAATGAAATTAACTTGCAGTTTTAGGTGTGACCCAGACAGCAAGAGCAATGGCAGAAAACGTTTGGGCAAACGTAGATGTAAGTGCAATGGCGGAAAATTATTTCTTGTTGGCAAAAATAAAAGTGTTACAGCAGAGCCGCGTGAAGATGAAGAAAGAAAATGAGCAGCTTCAAAAAGCTTGAGGACGAAAATCGAGCGCCTCACTGGTTGCCAAAACAACAATGCAAGCAGCTGGCAAGCAGAAAATGAGATCCTGGTAAATCAAAATGAACATTATAAAAAAAAGATTAGGTCTCTAAATTTCAACTTGGAGGAAGCCAGAGTAACAGTTAAGTGATTGAAAAGTGATTATGATGCCATGGTGAGATTAATTGTGCTCCTTGAACGGACACATAAGACAATAAGACAAAATGCAGAGGCTTCATTGAGAGAGAAGTCCGAAGAACTGGAGAGACTGCAAGCAGAGAATAAAAAGCTCCATGAAGAAATCTTTGATTTGAAGCAAAAACTTCAAAACATTAATTCCAGGGTGGCAGCAAAATCCGAGGATGTCCCTCGGAGTTGGCTCCGGTGGTGGGGGAGGAAGCCGGTCAGACCTGGCAGGCCCAAACGTGTTGTGAGGATCTGCTGGGAACGTCTGGCGGAGTCCCCTGTGAGACGAAGCTTTAACTCCCATCTCTGGCAGAACTTCGAACACATTCCAGGGGAAATGGGGACATTGAGTCTGAGTGGACCATGTTCCGTGCCTTCATTGCCGAGGCGGCTCATCGGAGCTGTGGCCGCAAGGTTGTTGGTGCCTGTCGCGGCGGCAACCCTCAAATCCGTTGGTGGACACCTTCGTTGAGGGATGCTGTCAAACTGAAGATGGAGTCCTATTGGGCCTTTTTGGCCTGTGGGACTCCAGAAGCAGCTGATGGGTACCGGCGGGCGAAGCGGCATGCGGCTCGGGTGGTCGCTGAGGCAAAAACCCGGGTGTGGGAGGAGTTTGGAGAGGCCATGGAGAAAGACTTCTGCACGGCTTCGAGGCGATTCTGATCCACCATCTGGCGTCTGAGGAGGAGGAAGCAGTGCAGCACCAACACTGTTTATAGTTGGGATCGTGTGCTGCTGACCTCAACTTGGGATATTGTGGGCCGGTGGGCGGAATACTTCGAAGACCTCCTCAATCTCACCAACATGCCTTCTGTTGAGGGAGCTGAGCCTGGGGACTCTGGGTTGGGCTCTCCAATCTCTGAACAATAATACTTGTGAATATTACTTGTTATTAATTTGATGTTAAGAGATGAACGTTGTTTTCTGGTAACAAACTGTCACGAAGTATAAATCAGATTTTTACATTTGCATTGAATATTTCATACTATATTCACCACCAATGACAAAAAAAAAACATTTTCATCTTTCTGAAAAGTTCACCAACTGCAGTTCTTAAGTAGTATGACAAACGAGCATAGGAAATCATATGTTTTTTGAACAATAACAATATTTGTTGTTAATCTGTTACTAAGAGTTGAGAGCGTTTTCTGGTAACCTAGTGTCACGAAGTAAACATCTGATTTTTATTTTTACATAATTTTCCAACTGTAAATTTCTTGTGTCTAAGCACATAAGCTGCACATCAAAAGATTTATACTTCTTCACAAAGTAATAAATCAGATTTTTACATTTGAGTTGAATGTCTGTTTTATAATATATTAAAAAAGAATGACCAAAAACAAACAAAAAAAAAAAACACTTTCACTTTTCTGAAAAATTCGCCAACTGCCCAATTCTACTTCAGTAGTATTTCAAAAGAGCAGAAGAAATCTTGTTTTTTGAACAAAAATATTTGTTGTTAATGTGTTGCTAAGAAACCAGCGATTTTTCTAGTAGCGAACTGTCACGAAGTATAAATCAGATTTTTACTTTTGTGTTGAATGTCTGTTTTATATTTTTTGTCATTATTTACTACTAATGAAAAAAAAACAAAAAAAAAAACATTTTCACTTTTCTGAAAAATTCACCAACTGGACAACTACAGTAGTAAGTAATGTAAGTAGTAATTCAAAACAGCAGAGGAAATCTTATGTTTTTGAACAATAACAATACCTGTTAATCTGTTGCTAAGAGATGAGAGTGTTTTCTGGTAACCTAGTGCTATGAAGTAAACATCTGATTTTTACCTTTGCAAAAACAAAAATCAGAAGAGTGCTTTATCTTTAGCAAAACATTAGCAGTAGACTTTTCCCTAAAATAATCTTTTTAGTCATTTTGTTTATTTATTAGTCATGCTTAGCACACTGAATGGAGGAAGTCAATATAAGACAACATGCTGATTATACCCCACATGCCACTGGCAGCATTTAGGCTACCATTAGCATTTTGGCTAATTTGAGCTTATACACAAATTTTAACTTACTGAATGGAGTAAGTCCATGTTGCTCTGAATGCTTGTGACTGTCCACATGTTATTGAGTATGTAACTTACTTTAGCACTGACGCTAATGTTTAGCATCAGAACGATGGGTTCCAAATGACAGGAACACTTTGGCAGGCCATGGTTAAATTTCTTCAGAAATGTTCTATTTATAGGTTATTGTTAATGCGGCTCGTACCGCTGCGTGTCCTCCCACAAAAAAAAAGGTATCAAAACGTGCGGCTCGATCGAGGGCTATTATTTTTCTTGGGGTTTCGAGTAAAAATGGCGACGTAAAAAGTTGGAAACGAGCGAAATTTTTAACTGCCGAAATGCAGAGTGTAACTGAAACCAACTGCCGTCCTATGCTCTCATACTGCTCTCATTCATAGCGGAACACTGAGTTAATACAGAGGAGGGCTGAGCAGGCCGTTAAAAACTACAATGATGGTGGAACACTGAGTTACTACAGAAAGCTGAGCTGGCATTTAGAAATATAGAAATAGCACCATGACGAAACACTTAATACAGAGAAGATGGCAGAAGAGCAAAGGAAGTAAGTACCATATGACTCATGAAACCTGACAACCACATTGGACTGTCGAAATGAGAGCATCACATAAACTACGTCATCAATGTAAACAGAAAAAAACCGCTGCACATATCTACAGTAAAACGACACAACTTACTGGGGCTTGAATGAACCATAAACATAAGAATAGACGCCTCATGGACCGCTCTCGCCTATTGTCGCTGATGAGATTTAGGGCGGCCATCTTGGAGCGGTCCACCACTCCACTCAGCGTGATGTGTTTAGCAGGCACAATTACGTATCAGCGCATTTAATCGATCATAACACGCTTTTTTTTTTTACTTTTTTGTTACTCAGCAGATGAGATTGAGTCCAAAATCCGATGCGAGATTCATCCGTCCTGCAGTGAATCCGTCTCTCTCTAAAGATATCTCCCTCTTCTTCCTCACATCGTGTCTTTAGGAAACCTTCAAAACAAAAACGGGAAGTATCTTACTTTTGACAGAGTGAAAGAATTATAAATACTAGTCTTTACCACCTGTGTAAACTTTGCTGGTGAATGTTATAACACATAATATAAGTTTTATAATATATGTTACATTGTTTCATTTCTAATGTAGGCTATTGTGTCAGATAATCTAAGTCAATGTTAGAGAATAATTAATGTTTTAGATTTACGGAATCTCAGTTAGCCTTCATAGCGGGGCTGAACCCCGGTATTACACTATAGCTAATATTAGCTGGTATCTCGCCGGTGGACATAAATACAGTAAAGTAATATTCTAATCACAATATATACACAATAATATGTCCATCTTACTTGTGAAATGTTGTCTGTGGAGCCCTCGCATCAATAATCCATCGATCAGAACAACAATATCCCTCAGTTCTGAGGCATCTTCTGCTGTTTTGATTGAGCAAAGGAGGAAGGTATACCGCTCCAAGATGGCCGCCGTATTTCCTGCGCCGGAGCAGCCAATGCGGGTCTACTCTTATATTATGTCTATGGAATGAACGACCTTTGATGATGTTAGCTATAGAATTTAGCTTTTCAGTTGTTTTCCTGATGGAAGTTTCAGATTCAGTAATTTATAATAGTCCAGGTTTTTTGCAAATAAAAGCAAATATGTTTTTAAAAACACCCAAATCTTTTCTGTGCATTTTAAAACATATTTTCTTATGTTAGATTTTGCCTTAGTGAGGTTTTTGTGTGAATTTTCTAATACTTTATAGAGACATGGTAAAAACATCTGCTAACAGACTTTTGGCTGCAAATCTGTTACAGCAGTCTTTGTCATTACTGGACATGACAAAGAACATTTCACATACTGTAAATGTATAACATTGTGTGCAAGGAATCCATATGGGGGCCAACTTTTAATGTTATTGAAGTAAATTAGCTATTTGATTTACTCATTTAAGATGTGGACATTTACAGTTATTTAAATCAAGTTGTGAATAACTTTTTTTTAATTTTTATTTTTTACAGCAAATCTGAATGTGTTTTATTTTGCCAGTAATTTTGATGTCCTTGACTTCTGGTTTGATACACCAGTTAGTACTGCACTTCATTTTTACTTTTTATGTGTATTTTGTCTGTTTTACAAACAACAGAGGATTAAAAAGAAGTATTAGTTCGATTGGCAGATTATTTAACTTATGGGAAAAATATCTTGTTAAAAGTATAATCTGTCAGTGGAACTAGAACTTTAAAAAAATAATATTATTAAAAAAGCTTCTTAAAAGTTACTTGTAAGTTAGTTTTGTCTTATTTCACATGTTCTAAAAAAGTAGACCTTTTGTATGATTTCTATATACATTATCAAATATCCATCCATTTTCTTTACACCCTTATCCCTTAGTGAGGTTGGGTTGCTGCCTACCTCCTACGTTCTGGGTGAGAGGTGGGGTACACCCTGGACAGGTTGCTAGT